TATTTAATACAAATTTAAATTTTTCTTCCTTTAAGGCAGGGAGCATAGAATGGGGCAAGATATTAAAAACTGACATAAAATTTTCAAGGACTGTGATATCCTATCTTATGTTTTTTTTTTCAACTGTTGACAAATGATTTTACGGCGCTGCTGCTTCCTTTTCCACGTTGATAGTCTTTTCCTGTTCGTTGCGCAATTTGCTCACGAACGGGCCCTTTGAGAGCAAACCCACGGAACAACCGGCAAGTTTCCAGCGAGAAATGCCACGCTCGTGTAAACATGAGGAAGGCCTCGGGAATGCAACGACTTCTTCACGGATAATCCATAAGTGGCTGTTTTGTCCGGCACGTAGCGCCCATTCTTGCGCCGCATTTTCATTGCGCGTGTGTGCCCCGTTGCTAAGTATTGTTTCCGTGAATGTAGTTACACGGTGTTTAAGATGTTACAAGCAATGTACTACTCATTTTTATATTTCGTATTTTGTCGATTTAAAATCCGTGAAATCAGAGTTGCGAAAAAAACTAAATGCGTTATCGCGATTAAAACTAGAACTATAATTAGAAAAAAAAAAGAAAAGATTCAGATCTCTTTCTCCGATGTACAATGTATAAACAAAATGCGCCACGTGATAAATCGTCCAGATATACGGGAGTTATTAGTCCCTCGTACTTTCGTTCCGGTGAGGCAATTACGTCGATGAGGAGTACATTAACCGTGTATTACCGCGTAAAGAAGTTTATGCGAGATTGAAAGCTGATGTGCGTGGTAAATTATTATACCGCGCCGAGTAATTGTTAATCGAAGATCTCGGGGCGAGCGGAATGGTGTCGCCGTCACATTTATTGGCAGGAAGAGAGACCGTCGCGAGAGTAATCACAAAGTTTAGGGCGCGCTCTCGATCGCGCCAGTTCGCATCAAGCCGCGTAATAACAGGAAGACACACCACGATCACGGTAATTAAAACACGGTACGTTATAATCTTCAGCCCATTAAAGCCCATCAATTACAGGCGCATCCCTCCCTCGACGAGCGGCGAGATCCCTGCGTCTACGAGGCGAATAATTCTCTCTCTCAGGATGATGCTCTCGCGATAATGACCGTCGGGATGGACCAATGAGTTGATAGATTCTTGGAAAGGCGCGCGATTTAATGGAGTCGAAAATTCCGACGCGATGAATCTCGATTAGAACTTCTTCTTTTTTTTTTTTCTTTTTGCGCATCCTCGAAGCCATCCCTCACGGTCGACTTAATCATCGGCGTCGTCGCAATGATTCTTTTGCACATCGCTCGATCGTGGGTAAAATTTCAAGGGGTACGCGCGCGTTGCGCATCGCGTCGATGAATATGTAAAGCAAGCCGTCGTAATTACCGTGGAACAATATCGTCGATCTGAGATTCCGAACGTTCAACAACGGTATCCACTTAATTATCGTAGGAACGTAATCGCGGCCGTTTAATCAAACGTATATGTAATATCGCAGGGGCAGAAAAACTAGTATATCCTGTTAACCCCGCAGCGAAATAAAATTCAATTAATCCCCGTGTATTCTGCTTTGAGCTCGAACGTCATCTCGATACCGATAAAACGAGTGATATATTATGCGGTGAGTATGCGATGAAAAATCACTTCTAAAGCAGGATAGAGAGAGTGAGAGAGAGAACAATGCTCCAGGTAAATCTGACACCGGCCGAAGGCGTGGTAACTCAATAAATTGCGTTAATATAACAGACATCTCGAGCCTAGGGCACATTTGGAAGCAAATTGATACTCCTCGTTCCCATTCTCATTTCTCTCGAAGAGAATTCCAACATGTTTGAATAAAGGAAGGTGGTGAATTGCCGCGAGATGCAATCTTTCCGCGTTCTCTGTGTTAATCATTCTCCAATTTCCTCCGAAAGATGATGGAAGGATCATTCTCGAATCGAACTCCGCGCGGATATGCAGATTAATACCCGATTATTCCCGCGTCTGCCGAGAAGCAGGCCTCCCTCTTTCTCTCTCACTCTCTCTCTCTCTCTCTCTCTCTCCTCTCTTTTCCTTCCACCGTTGTTCGCATTTTCGCTAAAAGCCGGTTCGTCCGCTACAGCCGCCGCCGCGATATTATTGGTTGCCATAGCCTTAGCCACGATCTCAAGGAGCGGCGGAAATCGCCCGTTATGAGGAGCACCGGTGATTAATTATTATGCAAACTAGCGGTACCAAGATTCCCCGTCCCTTGGATCCCCGTATATCCAGGTAGAAGATGCCGCCGCCGTTCGATATTCTAGCGCAACGCATTGCCTCCACTCGAGCTTTCATCGCCCGATTGCCCAACGCTACCAATCAATCCATCGCGTGACGTTAGCTTCTCTGTGGTTAGGCATCATTTCGCACCTCCTCAAATGAAAAGTTCCAATGCAAGTGGCAGATCCGTCAACGCGATCGCGATTTGCTCCGAATGGCGAAATGGTACGATAATTGTCTCGGATGAAGAGAGCAATAAGACGCATTAGAGATATGTGTAAATAGATTGTCTAGCATCGCCGTCTCGGTGGAATTTGCCGTCGTCATTCTTCTAGATTAGCATACGCAACAGTCAAATATATATTTATATATATATATATACATATATCCGGAAGAGAATTTTCGCTTTATAAGCGCACTCCGATACTCACGATAACTTATATAATACGTTACGTTGTATGAAATGAAATTTTTCCCGGATGTGCTACTTTGATGGCAACATTACATAGCGCGTGCAATCTCCGCATAATGACAAACGCTGCACGATTGTTTATACAATCGGGTAGCCTACGCGTAACCTTCGACGATTTCAAAATGTCGATTCCGCGTACGGTGAATTACCTTATAGCACTCTCGAGACGTATCTTAACGTCTCTCCTCGAATCTCGACGAAGTATAGTGGGAGGATCGAGGAGGAGAAATATCGAGGAACACGAAGCGCGAACGATCGCGAGTAAGTAATCGCAAATATTTGCCGACGCGCTCGAATGTGCGGAAACTGTCGGTCGCATATATAAAGCTCCCTGAGACTTATGCGGTACAAATAATTGCCAAATATAACGAGCCTAAGTAACGTCAACGTACGTGTTTCTCGTATCCAGTGCAACGATTATCAGCAGTTCGACGATTTCAAAATGTCGATTCCGCGTACGGTGAATTACCTTATAGCACTCTCGAGACGTATCTCAACGAACTATCTCTCGAATCTCGACGAAGTATAGTGGGAGGATCGAGGAGGAGAAATATCGAGGAACACGAAGCGCGAACGATCGCGAGTAAGTAATCGCAAATATTTGCCGACGCGCTCGAATGTGCGGAAACTGTCGGTCGCATATATAAAGCTCCCTGAGACTTATGCGGTACAAATAATTGCCAAATATAACGAGCCTAAGTAACGTCAACGTACGTGTTTCTCGTATCCAGTGCAACGATTATCAGCAGACGTCGCGATGCGAGACGCATAGATTATACGAACCGCGTAAAATCCATAATCCTCAAGAAGATGGCAAAAAAGCGGTGCGCACAAACCGGACGCGCCTTATTACCATGATAATTTTCTCAATGTGAGAATTCATAGGATTTCCCGAGTTTAATCTTACGTCGTTACGGGTGCTCGTAATTAATCTCCCAAGTAGATTTGAAAATCTTTTAATGTGATCGATTTTTTAAAGGCCCAGTCTACTTTAGAGGGTAAAAAATCGATTCTTGTTTGTACATTTTCTGAAAGTATGATGTCTCAAGAATATGCCTTTCAAATCTTATTTAAAAAATCGCAAAATTGACAGAGTTATAATAAGACTTTGAATAGGATAGCGTATGGATCTTCAAATGGGCCTGCAAAACTTTAAACACGTTTTTGTCAAAACACTGTTTTCAAAGTGTAACAGATATCTATTACTTAAAAAGTGTAATGAACCTACAAATAATGATATTAAATCTAAATTCTAATTATCCAAGATTTAAAAATACTGACGTACTGCTTAAACATCAATAAAAACATATACAAAGCGTCAAAAAAATCAATTTCAGACATTTAAAAAAAACTTCTTGAAAATTGTCAATTTTTTTCACTGTTAGAGTAGACTGGGTCCTTAAAGCGAGCCTCTATCCGGCTATCCCCCTTTAAACACAGCCTATCTCGGCGCGCAGGTTACGCCCAGCAGAAGCGCAGAATCTCATGCAAATATGCCGTGGTGCATCGCGTGTACACAGGTCCCCGAAGTAATTACAATAATAATGGCAGTCATAACATCGTATACCCCTCCTCCCCCCTTTTCCCCCCGACGACGACAACGACGACGAGCGGACGACGGAATCGTCCGCGCGTGGGAGCAGAAATATTTCCTTCATCCCTCGATGCGTGCCTGTGTACACATCGGGAAACTCTCGAAGTCGGTGTCTCATCGCTGGCGCAAGGCGCTGTTTGCCTTGCGTTTACACGGAATCTCTGAAACACAGTCGAGTTTGCTTTGGGTGCGGCGTGGCGCGACGCGGACACGACGCGACGCGGCAGCGCCCGTACGAAGCCGGAAAAGCGGGGCCCCTTTAACAAGTCCGAGGGGTGCTACGCCACTTAGCAAGGAATCGGCGTTGGGCAAACACGCCGATGCGCCATGGGAAAGTTTTTTTCTCGACTCGAGTTGCACAGTGGAAACATTCTGCGCTTCTGGCGAACGCCCGCCTCGTCTCCTTTCGATCGCGGATGCGGGGAAGGGTCGATGGAGATGCGGCTACGATCTACGATTAGTGACAAGTTGCATTGTAAGTCACATTAATCTGTCGCGCGTCGCTTCCACGCTGAGTGATTCGGAAAATCTTACGGAGAGTAACCGCAACGATCAGATTTCCGCGTAACATCGAGGTGAAGGAACCATAATGATGGGATGATGCGAGAGGGCAGGAGGCGAGTTTGAAGAAAACGGTGATTCCGTTCCCCGGCAGGAGGAGAACGAGCGCACCTGTACGCAGCCCGGGCTTTACCGAAGTAACATGCTCGATGGCCTTAGCGAGTCACGATAGTGATTTCTTGTACGAGGATTCCAGATCGCGACGCGACACGACGTCCCGACTAGGAAACCAGTACAAGGAAGTGCAGAATGAACGATTACAGGAAGATTCCCAACTTCTAGGAAACGCCAGCATAAGTGGATGCGCGAGAGAGTCAGAAGAAGGTGTTGCAATTTTTCTAAACTTTTCTAAAACATAATCTTGTGATTGTTTAACTAAAAATCAAACTAATCTTCAGGATATTAACGTCATTCTTTCATAGTTTCATTGTTAGACGAATCTCAGATTTGCTTTACCGCGGTAACATAAACAAAATTTAAATATCCTATAAAAACAATATAAGAATAAATGAGCGAGCAATTTGTCACGATTATAAAACGATTAAAGAGGATATTCAGAAAGAAAAAATTCCAACATAAAATACTCGCGAATCTCAAACTCTCGCGTACGAAAAGTTTCAGTTGTAAATGCAGCCTCAAGTGTCAAAGGATCGATGAAAAGAGCGTGACGACCATGTTTGGCTCGTGCTCGAGCTATACAACAGAACATCATTGTGATATGTGCCCGGCTACAGGGGGACACCTTTGCCTCCCCGTATAAATAGTACAATGGAGAGGTCGCAGAGGAAACGGCAGTAAAGATCATCGTCTTATCCAAAGGTGCGGGCGGGAGGAGGAGGGGGGGGAGGGGGCAGAGGGACAAAGCGCACGGGAAATAATGTAACGATGGTAAACCGGATGCGAAGCCGCGCGGACCACGAAGAACAACCAACTACCTGGTGCAGTTGGCAGCGGAGTTGTCTTACCCGGTGTAGACGTGAGATACGATCTCCGGCCGATTTCTGGCCAAGGATTGCGGGCCCCGACTTCGCGAAACGACAAGTCTTGTCGACGACGCTTGTTCATCGTCAGCCTCGAAACGACGATAATCGCCGCCGAGGGCAACCGCGAAACGATAGGGTCGTCAAGTCGCGGCACGCGAAGTGGCTTTATTTTAAATCACAACAGTTTTTATTCTACTTGCGCGTTCCGTCGATATGCTAATATTGAAGATATGAAAAATTACGATGTCGAAAAAAATTTATTCTTGCGAAAATGTACTCGATATCTGTCATCGCTGAAAAGATATCACCGGATGATGGGTCATTGGAAATCGTATTCGTATGATGATTGCACAGGATATCTCGGAAGATGGAGCAATCTCCGACTACATTCTCAATGATCCTCAATTATAATAGGGAATCATTTTCTCTGCGAGATATACCCCGTATGATTAGTGTGCGAGTGCATGCTTGCAATTGAAAATGAACTGATTTGATGTCTTTATCGCAAATGTAATCAGAACGGCTTAACATTTCGGAATCAATCTTTGCAAACAGGAATCTCTCTTTCTCTCTCTCTCTCTCTCTCTCTCTCTCATAAATCTTTTCATATCATTTCGAGCCAATACGCCGCGAAAACATCGCCAAATCAGTACCGCGCGTTCCATCGCCGTCAACTGGACGCGATCTATCGGAGGAAAGGCTGGAAAATGCAGCGAGACGAAACGAAATAAAATAAAACGAGCGAATGCACGGCGGATGAGAAGGAAACGAAGGGAAACGAGCGAGAGAAGAAGACGCGCACGTTGCTACCCTCATACGAGATAGAACGACCGAGGAGGAGCCGCAGTCTGTTACTATCTTATTACAAGGCTCCGTAAATGGTCTTCATCAAGGTAAAACCGTGTTCCACTAGGCCGGCGTTTCCTCCCGCTGTTCCCCCTCCCTTCCCCTTGTCGTTCTTCTCTTTCCTATCCTTGCCCCCTTTTCCTCATCCTTTTTTTTCTCCTTTTTCTCGTTCCTCTCCTCGCTCCTCTTCCACGCGGCGTTCGCCACGGCGGCGAAGGAGTCGGTGAAACCAGCGCGAAGGCTCCGAAGAAACCTCCTGGAGACTCCTCTCTCGCGAGGAAAAAACGAGAAAGGGAGAACGAGAAGTTGGTTCGACGTTATTAATCTCAGAATGGCCGTCACGCGCAGCGACGGTCGTGGCTCTTCGCCGCGGAATAGATGGATCGAGGGTACCCGACGCCGTGACTTTCAGAGTTCATTCTTCACGGTCGAGCGATTTTCGCCTGTGTACCACTAGCGGACGATTAACGATTGCGCTCGTTAAGCGCGACGATTTCTTTTTTTTTACGGGCGATCGGCGAAAGAAGTACGAGTGTGAAAAGTGTCGCCGACACCCGCGACGCTGTTCATCGAAGACC